CTTACGCTTAGTATTTCCACTTCTAAGAGTTTATATTCAGGAAGGAATCAGACTACTGCATGTATGTACCATGTATGTTCAATGATGTTCATGTGCAAAGTGCTTATCGAGCACCAGGCAAAGTTCTAGGTGTCTTTCAGTGCAGGGGAGGGGAGCCTAGTTATAAACAAGTTGCTTTCATAAAATAGATTTCAGCTACTTTTAAAAAATGATATATCTATATGCACTGAAATGTGAAAAAACCTCCATAATACATTAAGTGTGGAAAGTGGTTTATAATGCATCATATGATATGGTACAACTTTTATAAAATCTGCGCATGCATATACAACATGCACAGGGGAGAGGTTTCAAAAGATGTTTTCTGAGGGTCTCAGCCTGGTGGCCTTAGGTGATGTGTTACTTCCTGTGCGTTTTCTGTAATGCTTGACTTTTCTATAATAAGTGTTTCTGTGGTCAAGAAAAACAAAATATTCTTCTTTTAAAAAAAAAAAAAAGTTTGGAGTAACAGAGAAGAAAAGGCCCTCTTTCCTAGAGGCTGGCCTGTTTTTTAGTTTATAAAACAAACTGAGGTTCTTATTTCTGTGTAAAATGTGTAAATGTAAAGTTTCTGTGTAGAGGTTCCAGAACTTCACCTGCTGGCAGTGGCAGGCAGGAACTCCTGCCTTTTCATTATGAAAAAAGGACCTCTGCAAAGCTGCTATGACGGCAGCATGCACGTGCCCGCAGAGGAGGGACGCACCTTTGGCCGCACGGGGTCCGGCTCCAAGGACAAGCGCCTGCTGATAAGAGATGAGACACTGAAAGCTGGAAAGGGGAGCCAGAGAAGGACAGCTAGCAAGAATACTTAATTAAGGAAAAGAGGAGAAGATGATGGTGTAGAAAGTGGTGGCTGTGAAAAGCAGGTTTCAAACCAGGTAAGTGCACCTGACCTGTCACTCGCGAAGATCACCTACATTCTCAACAATGCGCATGCAAGACATGGGGCCGCGCTGCTGAAGGCTCACTGCCAGAGCCAACGCTGAAATGCTGAGACCATAGTCACAATTCTGTTTCTAAAGGGACGTGGGTGGCTTACTGCTCTCTGTTGAAAGGCTGAATTCTTGGTTCAGCTAATAAAGGTGAAGGGGCAGAAGGAAGCCCGTGAAAATGGTAAATGAGCCATAGAGATGCAAATGTGAAGGACAAATTTTGTTACAAAATCGATAGACCAGGAGGCTGGCTAAGTACAGACCATTCCTACTGGAAGGGACAGGAAAGCACTGAAGGTCCACAGAGGTTAAAGGGGGGACTTGCTGGAGAAGACCAGACATTCACAAGAGAAATGGAAAGAGTAATTTCAGTTACAGTTAAAACACATCAGTTATAGGAATAAAAGTTTCACATCAAAAGAAAACCAGTCTTAACAGGGAAATGCAGAATTGCACCCAGTTCTCAATGTGGGTTCTCAGTCCAGTGTAAGTATGAAGAAGACAAGTTTGTCAACCTGTGAGTCGATGGCACCAGTCCCCACACGGTGCTGTCACCAGGAGCTCACACAGAGGAGCGTCCACAGGACTGTCAGCCCTGCACAGGGTCCCGGACAGACCAAGCAGCGCCATGGGCAGGCGGCAGGTGTGAAGACCCCGGTGTGCCTGGGAAGGAGCCCCTGCAGACCCAGGTGGAAGCTGTCAACATCAAAATCAGAAGAGACACCTCATGAAATGCGAATTTCTTTGTAATTGGAGCACGTGAGACAATGCTTGCAACAACAGTTTAGATTTGCACAGCGGCAGAGTTCACAAAGGATTTTCACAGCCTTTAAAAATGTTACTCCTGGGCTTCCCTGGTGGCGCAGTGGTTAAGAATCCGCCTGCCAATGCAGGGGACATGGGTTCGAGCCCTGGTCCGGGAAGACCCCACACGCCGCGGAGCAACTAAGCTCGTGTGCCACAACTACTGAGCCTGCGCGCATAGAGCTCGCGCACCCCAAGGAAGAGCAGCTCCCGCTCACCGCAGCTAGAGAAAGCCTGTGTGCAGCAACGAAGACCCAACGTGGCCAAAAATAAATTAAAAAAAAATTATGAATTCAAATTTATCCCCCCCAAAAAAAGTCACTCCTGCTCTCAGTCCATGTCAGGGGAGCCGAGGCAGAGGGGAGGTGGGCAGCCAGCACCCTCCTTCAGCCGGGACCCAGCTCTTGTCACCATCACCTGCAGCGGGTGAGAACCGAGACCACCTGGAAGGGTGCCGTGCACCATCAGCCCCAGTCTCCCTGCCCAGGCACGACACCCACTGAGAGCGGTACCGGGCGGGGCGACCGGACCAGGCCCTGAGGTGAGGAGGGGTCAGCCTTGGGTGCCACCAGACCTGCCGCCCCGCACGGGCCGAGGGAGGGGACGCAGGACTCGGCGGCCACAGACGGGGCAGCCGACCGGGAAGCCTCTTCCTTCCCAACTTCTTGAGGAGTCACTACTGAACTGGTTTATTGGTGCTGGGCATTCAAATGGCCATCAACAGTGGACACAGTCACCTCTGGACTTTTCCTTCTTTTCCGACTCCAGTCCTCATGCTCTCTTTGCTTTCAGTGCCACCAATAAGACTGTGGAGCCCTCCCGCTCTCAGCCTTGTGGGTCTGCACGCCTCACGCCCTGCCAGTCCCGGCTCAGGCGTCCCTCTTCCTGTCCCAGCCCCCTATCGAGCCCTAACAACCCCCGATACATGCCTCCCGGCTGAGCACGGTGGCCTCTCACGCCTCTCTGAAGGGTCTCTCATTTTATTTTTTAAAAACTTTTTGGCAGATTGATTGATTAAGATTGATTTCTGCGTTGAGTCTTTGTTGCTGTGCACGGGCTTTCTCTAGTTGTGGTGCGTGGCTTCTCATTGCAGTGGCTTCTCTTGTTGCGGAGCATGGGCTCTATGCGCGCAGGCTCGGTAGTTGTGGCTCGTGGGCTCTAGAGCGCAGGTTCAGTAGTTGTGGTGCCCGGGCTTAGATGCCCTGCGGCATGTGGGATCTTCCCAGGCCAGGGCTCGAACCCGTGTCCCCTGCATTGGCAGGTGGATTCTTAACCACCGCGTCACCAGAGAAGCCCAGATCTCTCATTTTAAACAGTATTAACACTTCCTTCCACTTTCTCACTTCAGACCCCTGAAGCGGCCCACCTTGTCAAACGGGTTCACAAAGGGGAAAAATATTAGAGAAACAGTAAGAAAAGTGAACTGAAACATTGGAGATGAGTTACAAGTGTTCAAGATAGAAAGATATCAACTTCCCAGCCAGAAGTGCATGAAGGAGTTATTCAAAGCTCTTCTGAAAACCTGGGTCAACGTTTTCAGTGATGTTGACTTATGGAACTGAGCTCACAGGGCCTCTTGAGAGAAAGGACCACTTCTTAAAGCTGAGACCTGTCCCCAGCGGGGGAGAGCCATGTGGCCACCAGGAGGTCATCGAGGAGCCCAGGCCCGCCTGCTGTGGGACAGACACACATGGGGCTGGGGCAGCAGTGGGGTTCAGGTGTGGGGTCAGGGCAGAAGCTGGAGTCAGAATGTCAGAGCAAGGTGGACATGTCACCCTGTGACCTCAGGGATGGAGCTAATGTCCTGCAAGGAGATCCCAACCTTCCTTCCCAGTCCAGTCTCTCCTTTGAGGGAGATGGTGGCGCACCACACCTTCCTTGACCACAGCCTCTGGGAGAAGGTCCTTGGAACCTGTGTGCTCCTGGGAACCAGAGGACAGAAAGAGGGACATGAACAGGATGGCCTGCCAAGAAGCAACTGCAGAAATGTAACCTGGGATCTGCTGGAGCCAAAGGTACAATGAAAGTCGCCGGGGATGTGCAGGTTACCATGGTAATTAGAGGGATGTGTCCTAGGCACCGACTCCCCATCTCTCTGCTTCGCCCTGACCACTGCTCACCTGCTAGAGCAGAGCGGCACCAGGCCACCCCCATGCCTTCCTGGAGGCGGTGGCACTGGGACTTGAGGGCCAGGAAGAGTGACTACCACAGGGACGTGTGTCCAGCTGCTGAGATGCTTTCCCATCTCCTGGAAGGACGTCCCTCTAGCTCGGCAATGCATTCAGTCAAGGGCACCCAGAAGGTTCTCGGCTGGGATGCTGCCCAAAGACCCGCCCGGGAGGCATGGGCAGCAGAGCTCACTGTGGGCAACAGCCCCGGAATGAGTCCGCATTTTTTCATTGAATATGTTAAGTACACAACGGAGTATGTCACCAAAGTAATTTATCTTTATAAGAACATAGCTTAATTTTTGAATGAAATAATTTATCCAATAATTATATTCCAAAGATTTTCAACAGGGCTTGAATAGATGACTATATTACTGCTTAGCGATCCCATTTTTGGTTTTATGGTTTCTGACGCTTTAATTAGGAAGTCAGAGAGATCAATCCACTAGAAAATCATATTTTCTTGATATTCAAGTTAAGGTTTACGGTACAGAGTTTCTTAGTTTTTACTTGTTAAAAATCAACTGGGGAAAATTCCAAATTCCTCTTAAGGAAGTTCCGAAATGATGAATTAAAAGGGGAAAAAACTACCATTTGACTTTTTACAGTAAGAATGTAACGTGCAGCCTCTGCACCGCCACCAGAGCACCTGACCCTTGATCTTCCTTCACTCACAAAACATCCAACAGCAAAAGCAAATATCATCATTCAATTTTCCACAAGAGATGCAACATAAGTTATTTCATCATTACAAAGTTAATATACAATCTCAGAAATTTTGAAAAAATTGGAAAATCAAGAAAAAAAAGTCCTACTTAACAAGAGAAGCACTTTCACATTTGGATGTATTAACGCCAGACTTCCCCTAACTTGCTAACAAATGGGGCTGCGATCACATTCCAGCCTTAAGTCTCCTCCCAGCCTGAGCTTTTCCTGCTGTGGATCTTACAGGCATCTCTGACGACTGCAGACCACACAGCAGTGAGACGCTCAGCCCCGTTAAAGTTCAGATGGAGTCACGACCCTGGAAGACCCCAAAGGCTGTCAGCGGTCTTACCTCCTATGTCTTCGCCGCTGGAGGAGCTCTCAGGACTCGAGCAGCTGGGGGCCTCCGGCGGAGGGGGGACCCACCCCTCAGGAGGCAGGCCCACGGTGTAGAGCCGTCGCGCAGGCTGGACCTGAGTGTCACCACCTGCAGGAAGAAGCAGGGACAGATGCCATCAGACGTCTACTTGCCGAGCAGCTTCTCCAGCCACTTTCACTGAAGATGGGTAGCCAGAGCCGTAAATACTGATGTCAGTCAGCCAAGCATTTTGCCAGCAGAGCCACTAAGCTCTACACCCAGACAGGGACAAGGGGTGAGCTATGATTATTTAAATTCACATTAAGTTACTTATTATGTAAACTTCTGGGGTTTTATAATATGGTATAAAAACATAACTAATTCATGAATAAGAAGCAGAAAATAAAAAGACTCCATGTAACACACCCCTCATGACCACAACATGAATCTCAACATTTTGGTGCATAACCTTCTGGACCTTTTTCTCTCTATATGCTAACAACATGTATGCAGTGTGTGTGTCTGTTCACACCCACACACAGACACACACACGTCTTAATGGGATCACGCCACACACAGACACACACACGCCTTAATGGGATCACGCATCATTATACACGTATATATTATATGTATAATATCATTCAAAAGTGAATATGATAAAATATTAAGATACATTTAAGCTTACATACTCTCAAAGGCTACATGATAGTCCATGTCATTGGCAAATTTAACTATAATTTAACCACTGTCCTAAATTTTGCATATGGAGGTTGATTCTAAATTTGCACTATTACAAGCACCTGCTATGACCATCCTGGCTGTACATAACTTTGCACCACTGACCACAGGGTTCCTCCAAACAAATTCCTGGAAGTGGACCTGCTGAGCTGCACCGTCCGGAGAGGCAGCTTCCGGTGCTGCTGCCATGCTCTCAACACTGGGCAGGATCGACGCTCTAATCTTCATGTTCTCATTCAAGATATGGCAAAGTAACCTTTATCCAACACAAGTGGATATCCCCATTAGTCTTTCTCAGAAAAATGAATATTTTACTTTAAAAACAACGAAAAGGACTGAGCAAAATCACTAATGCACATAGAACGTGTGGTTGAGAGACATTTAAATTGTGAAAGCTTTGGAACATTTTCAAATTCTTCTGCCATCAATATACTTCACTTTTGTGAAGCTAAGGGGCAAGAATGTAGTTCTTATGTTAATCTGATCCATCCAGTTGATTAACGACTGTGTCGTTACTGCCAGGATCAAGGGCAGAGCAGGGACGTTACCGCCAGGATCAAGGGCAGAGCAGGGATGTGCTTCCAGGCAGACCATCCCCTGTTGGGTGACATCAACATTTGACCATTTTTCACAGAATACTTTTGGGAGCTTTTAATCAGCTAACAGAACTTGGAAACACTACTGCTCACTTAAGTATCAGGATGAATACAGGCGGTGCCGTGGACCCGAGGCAGGATATGACTCCTGTTATGAAGGGCAAGGATGCACCTGAGGGCAGAGCTCTTCCCGATGCTCCCATGCCGAGCACACACTCATCTGAGGCCAAGCCTGCGGGCTGAGGAAGGCGATCTGCTGTCTGTGTCAGGGTGGCCAGGCGCAGAGCGCAGCTTCCCGGCCCGGGTTTCCCTTGTCTCTTCTGGTAGAAGATGGCTCATCGCTGCACGGCAGTCAGATGTCGTGTTTCACTGCTCAGGGCTCGGGGCTCAGCAGGGCCACAGCATCCCCTCGCCCACACATCAGGCCCGCAGGGTGAGGCTTGGGGATCTGGACGAGGCATGTCAGGACCCCCTTCACTGCTGACAGAGGCCATCGTCTCCCTAGGAACACCGGGCTGGCCGCGAGGCTTCAGAAGAGGCGACTTAATCAGCTCTCCTCTTGTTGATCGGCTGGCTGAGATCCGAGGTTCATAATTCTCACCCTTTCTGGCTCTGGGTCTGATTTGCAGGACACCCACTTGAGCTTGATTTCATGCCTAACCTCTGACTCCCCCTGCATTGTGCCTGTCCACATGGCCCCCTGCCCACAAGCACACACGCGTGCCCTCCACCAGGGCACCGCCACCAAGCCACCCTTGGGACGGCCGCAGCCTTCACGATCGGTGTATTTGTGTCACGGAGCTTGGGGCACAAGGCTGTTTTTTATAATTCTTCTGGGATTACCTGGCTCTTTAAAATATATACAGATATAAAGCAATAACAAATAATAAGGGTCCAACATGGGCTCTTGGGTGACGGAAATTCATCAAAATGCATACACACCGATTGTTGTGGCCGTTTACAGATCATGCCCTCATCTTTAAGAACAAATGGAATCACCAATGCCCTTTTGAAACTAACAAACTAACAAACAAACAAACAAACACTTCTGTCAAGTGAACAAATAGTTACCAGAATCAGCATGCTGTGTCCTAACTGTACAAAGAACATTTTCTCAACCTCATCCAAGGACTGACTGACAAAGGCCCCTTTCCTCATCTGGCTGCTTCTTCCAACACTGAAAAGACTTGGACACACCTGCAGCTCTGCTTATCGCCAAACTGTGTCCTCCACAAGCATCAAGCCTTCAAGCAAATCCTCAGATGACCTTTACAGAATGTTTCATATGACCTGCCCACAACTTGTATTTGTCTATTTGATTGTGATTTCATTGTTTTGTCTTTAGCCAAGATTTCTCTTTTTCTAGCTGCAAATGAATTGTTTTTTCTTCAAAATTCCCAAGGCATATTGCTTCAAAAAATATGTTGCTCTTTCAGGATTAAAAAACACTCAAGAAACTAGGGCTAGAGGGAACTTCAAATGACAAAGCATGCATGAAAAACCCACAGCTGGCACTACACTCAATAGAGAAAGCATGAAAAACACACGGCTGACATTATACTCCATTGAGAAAAGCCTGGCTGCTTCCCTCTAAGATTAGGAATGATTACAATTCACATTCTTGCCACTTCATTTCAACATTATACTGAAAGTACTAGACAAGGCAATTAGTCAAGAAAGAAAGGAAGTAAAGGCATCCAGATTGAACAGGAAGAAGTAAAACATCTCTTCTCACAGATAAGATCTTGTATATAGAAAACCCTGAAAAATCCACATACACAAAAAAACCTGTTAGAGCTATTAAGTTTGGCAAAGTTGTAGGATACAAGATCAACATACAAAAATCTATATTTCCATATTTAAGAAACCACTGCCTAATGCAAGGTCAAAGCATTTATTAGTATTTCCATATACCAGCAATTAATAATCCAAAAAGAAAACAATTCCATTTACAATAGTATCAAAAAGAATAAAATACTTTGGAATAAACTTTTTTTAAGTATAAAATTTATAATGAAAACTACAAAGCATTGTTAAAAGAAATTAAAAATGATTTAAATGGAAAGCTAGACGAAATTCATGGATTGAACAACTTAATATTGTTAAGATGGCACTAATCCCCAGAGTGTTCTGCAAATTCAGTGCAATTTGTATCAAAATTCCAACTTCCTTTTTTTTTTTCTTCCAGAAATGGACAAGCTGATCCTAAAATTCATATGGAATTGTGAGGGACCCCGAACAGCTAAAACAATCTTGAAAAACAACGAAGTTAGAAGACTCTTAACTCTGATTTCAAAACTTATTACAAAGCTACAGTAATTAAAACAGTGTGGTACTGGCATAATGACAGACATAGAGACCAATGGAACAGAATTGAGAGCCCAGAAATAAACCCAAACATTTATGGCCAATTGATTTTTTTTGTTTTTGTTTTTTTTTCGGTACGCGGGCCTCTCACTGTTGTGGCCTCTCCTGTTGCGGAGCACAGGCTCTGGACGCGCAGGCTCAGCGGCCATGGCTCACGGGCCCAGCCGCTCTGCAGCATGTGGGATCTTCCTGGACCGGGGCACGAACCCGTGTCTCCTGCATCAGTAGGCGGACTCCCAACCACTGTGTCACCAGGGAAGCCCTGGACAATTGATTTTTGACAAGGGTGCCAAGTGGAGAAAGGACAGTCTCTGCAACAAGTGGTGCTGGGATGACTGGATATCCAGACAAAGGAATGAATCTGGACCCCTACCTCACACCATATTCAAACATTAACTCAAAATGGATAAATTACTTAAATGTAAGAGCTAAAACTATAAAACTCAGAAGAAACCTTAGATGTAAAATTTGTGGCCTTGGATTTGGCAACAGTTTTTTAAATGACACCAAAAACACAAGCAACAGAAGAAGAAATAGATATAATGGACTTAATCAAAATTAAAATGTTTTATACTTCAAGACACCATCAAGGAAGTGAAAGGCTAACCCATGGAATGGGAGAAAATATTTGCAAATCATGTATCTGATAAAGCTCTTGTATCCAGATTATGACCACCTCTTACAACTCAGCAGCAAAAAGACAAACAATCCAATTACAATATGGGCCAAGGACTTATATACACATTTCTCTAAAAAAGATACACAAATGTCCAACACACACATGAGAAGACACTCAACATCACCAGTCATCAGGGAAACGGGAATCAGAACCACAGTGAGGTGCAATCTCACACCTACTAGGATGGTTAGCCTAGTAGGGTAAGAAAACAGAAAATAGCAAGTGTTGGCAAGGGTGTGGAGAAACTGGACCCCCCCTCCCCCCGCATGGCTGGTGTGATGAAGAATGGTGCAGCTGCTGTGAAAAACAGTTTGGCTGTTCCTCAAAATGTTAAACATAGGAGTACCACATGACCCAGCAATTCCACTTCTAGGTTTATATCCAAGAGAACTGAAAACACATGTCCACACAAACACTTGTGCAGGGATGTTCAAAGTGGTGTTATTAATAAAAGCCTAAAAGTAGAAATAACCCAAATATCTGTCTATCGATGAACAGATAAACAAAATGTGGTATATCCACGGAATGGAATATTATTCAGCAACAAAAAGAAATGAAGCCCTGATACTCGTTACAATTCAGATGAACCTGGAAAACATGCTAAGTGACAGAAGCAGACACAAAAGGTCACCTATTATGCAATTCCACTCAGGCAAAATGTCCAGAATACACAAATCTGTAGAGACAGAAAGCAGGGAGGCATGAATGGGGATGACTGCAATGGATATGGGTTTCTTTTGGGGTGAAAAGAATGTTCTGGAATTAGTGGTGATGGTTACATAACATTGTAAGTATACTAAGAATCACTGAACTGTACATTTTGAAATGGTTATGGTAAACTTTATATTAAATGAATTTTATCTTTAAAAAATAGGGCTTCCCTGGTGGCGCAGTGGTTGACAGTCCGCCTGCCGATGCAGGGGACACGGATTCGTGCCCCGGTCTGGGAAGATCCCACATGCCGCAAAGCGGCTGGGCCCGTGAGCCATGGCCGCTGAGCCTGCGCGTCTGGAGCCTGTGCTCCGCAACGGGAGAGGCCACAACAGTGAGAGGCCCGTGTACCGCAAAAAAAAAAAAAAAAAAAAAAAAAGTTGCTGCATGTTGTATGGAGTTTTCAGAAAAGGGCATATAAGTTAGGCTCATTTGCATCTGTGAAATACTAAAACTATCAGAAATGCCTCCTCTATTTGTGGCCTGAAGCCATGAGAAAGGGTGTGGGGGTCCTGCCCACCAGACCCCTCCCCCTTCCAGGATGCCTGGCGGCCAGAGGGTGGTCTGGAAGGGGAGAAAGCGTGGGGTGTGCAGAAATGCAGCAACTGGACGCCCCTCTAGGACCCAGTGAGACTGCCCTGGTCACACCACATCCTCATTAAACACTCCCCCTTAGTTTAGGCCATGGCAGGTGGCCAGTCTACACTGCGCAAGGCACACTGTGCTGCCTTAGACAGCAAGCACCACACGCAGAGTCTGCAGTCTGAGAAATCACATGGGTGGAGAGGTCCACCGAGAACACGGGCCGAAACCTGACCTGCGGTCCTCATGGGACCTCTCCTCTGGCCCCATCACCATGCTGGCTGGGCCAACTCCATCCGGGCACTGGCGTCTATCCTGTCCTATCCTCTGACTGTGCCACAGCCGCTGGCACCAGCCACCACGGGGCGATCACCAGTCAGCACCATGGGTGCCCCACTGCCCATCACAGCTCAGGCTGCAGCTGGGGCCCACCCCCAGCTCCTGGCGGACGTGATGGAGGCTCCCCATGCTCAGGGCCCCCTCATCCACTCACACCAGCCATCTGCTCCATGGAACAAGCTTCTCAACCTTCCGTACGGGTCATTTCACGTAATCGATACATTCTGAATGATACATATGGGTCATTTCACGTAATCGATACATTCTGAACCAACTTTACATCAGCATCTTGATTTTTAGTTCAACATCCTCATACTGAACAACAACAGCACCTCACAGCCGCCTGCTGAAATGACATGACTGAACCTGGAGCTTCCGTGGAAAGACACCACCCAGATTATTACTATTAGTGAATAATCGCTGTTAAAACCGTCAAGTTAGAAGAGGGAAGAAAATGCAAATAAACCCTAAAAACAAAATTTTTAAAAAGACTAAGAACATTGGTTCAGTCAAACTTGGACAGAAAACCAGGAACACCCAGGGACGCCTGCTCCTCACGTAGGCGGCACGTCTTCCCTACGGTTCCCGCCTTGCTAAGCTGTGCTGTGCTTATTCAAAACCACGTGCGTCCTTCACAGGTGGAACGGGTGTCACGTTAGTTTTCTGGGCAGCATCACAGGTGGGGGCTTGAGCACAGGTGTTCCTTCTCTCCTAGTTCTGGAGGCTGGATGTCCGAGATGGAGGTGTCACAGGGCTGGTTTCCGAGGCCTGTCTCCTTGGCGTGTGGATGGCTGTCTTCTCCCCGTGTCCTCATGCAGTCATCCTGCTGTGCGTGTCCGGGTCCTGATCTCTTCCTGATCTCACCAGTCACATTGGACTAGGACCCACCCTAATGGCCTCGTTTCACTTAATCACCTCTTTAAAGGCCCCGTCTCCAAACACAGTCAACATCTTGAGGTCAGGGCTTCAGCGTATGAATTACGGAGGATACAATTCAGCCCACGACAGTATGGTCTTTGAAAGGTAAAACAGCATTAAATAGTAGCCACTATTCCTTAGTGTGACTCCAGGGGTGGGAGTCCATCCTACACCTGGCAGGCTCTCTGTCAGAACAGCAGCAGGTGCGCCAGAGAGTGGTGGTCCTGGGGGGATGCTACACGGGGGTCAGAGCATCCCAACCACACCAAGGCACATGAGGACACAGAAAGGGAACTCGGCAGCCCCAGGTTCATCCTGAAGGACAAGCTTGTGCAGCCCCCCATTCTGGGGGGGAACGCTTTGCCCTTGTCCGCAGGCATTGGCCATCTCATGGGTGAAACAGGCGTGGCACGATTATTTCTGGAGATCCAGCCTGTGGGCAGCAGGCATGCCCTGGGCTTGTCGGGCCTGCCACTGAGATCTGGTCCAGGGAGGGCCAGGATTTGTGGACATAAGGTTACCGGGCCAGGCCAGCAGGAGAGACCAGCGCTCAGGAACAGAATCACTCTAGGACAGAGCCCCGTGAGGGGCCACTGCCAAAGAGAAACAGAACTGACCCGAGAAAGGGTGCTGGGAACTCTGCCCTCTCACGTCCACCTGGGCACTAGGGGCTGCAGCCAGGGCTGCCCCCACCTTGCCTGGCCTCTTTCCGTGTGTCCCACTTAGTGGCCCCTCGCCGGGCAACACCGCTGCATTGATGGGGAACCAGAGTGAGAGGAGCCTCCACGGCCGACCACCTCACTGTGTGAGGATCTTGGACAGACATCTGTGAAGAGCAATGGACAGGAGACTAAAACAGGAGAGACGTCAGGACCGCGTCCTGGGTGGCCAGGGACTGGGGCAGGGTGACAGGGCAGATGAGAGACCAGGCAGCAGGGTCCAGTCTCTGCGACCGGGAACAGCATGTAGATGAATTCAACACCAATGGCGAACTTGACCTCGTCCCCAGCTGGGGGCACCGATGCTGGCTTCTTCCCTCCCCAAGTGAAGTAACTGTCCTCCCAGAGCGTGAGCAGAACGACACCTGCCCGTCCCCTGAGGTGACACCCCAGTGGCCTGAGGCCAGGCACGTGCTTCCTGGGGAATGTCCAGGGACCCGCCCTCACCTGTCATGGGGGGGATGCCCCCGCCCTTCACTCTCTCAGGAGCCACTTTCTCAGGTGGGTTTCTGCAGGCTGGACTCACTGGGGCCCTCTTCTCTTGGCCACGTGGAACCTCAGGATACAGTTTCTTCAGCACTTTTCCAACAAACACTACAGAGGCATCAATTTGCAAAAGAAAGGAAAAGAATTACTGACGGCAGTTTTATTTAAATTGCAAATGGATTTTATAGAAAATGAAGACATATCACGACATCACTACCTCAGGACTGCCCCCTATAGGACACCACTGGGGTTGTCCCCCCAAGATCCTCCAGCACCGTCCCCCTCAGAAGACCCCCAGCACCGTCCCCATCAGGGGACCCCTCATCACTGTCCCCTGAAACGATGCTGCCCCCCAGCACTGGATGCCCCCACAGGTGTGGGCACAGGTAGGAGCCGCTCACACCTGGGGGCCGCACTTGGGCTCACAGCTCTGTTCTTCCCTCACCTTGTCTCTGGTTGAATGTATGTATAAAGCACAGACTGCGAGGTGTTTTGAGAATCAGGGTTTGAGGTCCTGGGCCCCAGCGCAGCCCCAGACAGGCTGGGTCCACGTCAGTTCACAGCAGATACGCTGGGCAGGCCCCAGGCAGCCCCGGCTCCTCCCTCCAGGGCACCCGCCGGGGACCAGCACAGCCGGCTAGGTTCTCACAAGGGTGTGCAGAGTCTTCATTTGGTTTATTTTAGTTTACATTCTGATCTAACTGGAGGGGAAGAGCTGCCACAATGAATAAATATTTCTGTCCTGATTTAAGTGTGAACAACAGGTACAATCTCAAAACAGCATCCTAGAAAAGGTGAGGGGAAAAGGTTCACCCAATGAACCTGTTTTAACCTCATTAAATTCAGAAACAAACCAGCAAAGAGAGAGAGAGCTGCTCTGGAGTAACCAAGCACCGTGGGGCAGAAATTGGGACCCCGGAGAAGGGTTTGAGTTCTTCAGATGATGAGGTGGAGGATGTATGTTTGGGCCACTGGGGACGCGGTGACGTGAGAGGGGAAGTCTGAAGGGGCCACCGAGTGGCTTGTGGGTCACAGAGGGCAGGGTCCTGTCCCCACGTGGGAGGCACAACCCTAAAGACGCAGACCACTCCTCATTTCATCATGTGCTCAGACAGCCCTCGCAGCAGCAATAACCCCCTCCGACCGGTACTAGTTGGAAAAAACACAACTTGGGTCTAAAAACACGAAAGGCCTTCTCAGAAAACTATTCAAGCCCAGGCAGTGCTTGGCCGGGCGCCTGGGAGGAGCACGGGGTCCTGATGCCACCCGCCCGCTGGCCCGGTGGCCTGATGGCTGGCTGCCCGCTTGGCCAGGAGGCCCTGGATGGAAGAAACTGCCTCTGGCGACGATGCCCTCATTTACGGTCTCGGGTCCCGGAAATGCTGGACTCCAACCCCCACCTCTGCCTGGTTGAACAGCGCAGGGCCCAGCTCAGAATATTTCCAAGGCCTCTGCAGACAGCCCCGGGCAGTGCGTGAGTCACGGGGAGACAGGCTGTTCCGTTAGACCAGCGCTCAAAGACACGTCCAGAGGGTAGGTTCCAAGTTTCCGTTAGAAATTGAACTGTCCTGTGCATTTCCTTAAATGGCAGAGGGGAAAACACTCTATTCCAGAAGACTGGGTGGCAATTTCCAGGGGAAACCAAAGGCAGATAAAATAAACTTTACCTACAAACTATCAACAAGTCAGCATTTTTATGAACTAGAACAAATATTAAGGTAAAATCCTAACTGGGCACCTGCTCTAAAACAAACTCGGGGAAGCTCGGGGCCTGAGACTCGCCTGGGCTGGCGGCAGCTGACATGGGCGTCCAGCTGAGGTCATCTCTGAGCCGAAGCTTCTGCACACACGTGTGTATCTGAACACAAAACAACACTACAGGAAAACCCGACACAGGTCATCACCAAGCAGTGCCTGCACCACAGCTGAGCAGCCACACAGCCCGAAGAACCCGACATAAAAACACAGTGATCCCGGGGAGAAACCAGTGCAAGCCAGGCCCCCAGAAGGCCCCTTCTCCAGGGAACACTGAAGCGGATTGGGCACCTCACCATTTTGCTTGAACAGGTGCCCTGACTACAGGCGGCAAGGGCGCGGCACACGGCAGGCTGGCCAGGAACTCACCGCCTAGGCTTTCTGCCGTGGATCCTGAGCTGAGACATTGGTGGTGTGCAGGGCAAGGAAAAGAACAGAAGCCCGTGGCGCTTTCACTGAATTCACCGGACTGCGTACGTAAATTGTATTTACAGCCTAATTAATAGGGGTTTTCACCAAGGCGCTAGCTACCTGGCGGCGTGTCTGCAAAGCCTCCGGCTCTCGAGGTCCTTTGGCTCTCCACTCACTGGCTTTGCGGTGTCCCCGCACGACCGCTGCAGGGACCTCAGCCTGTTGGGAAGTTTAGGACACGTGGTCCTTCCTCAGGGACAAGATTCAGGACAAGACTCAGACAATCCCAGGCTGAGCGCTCCAGTGCTGAGGTCCCGGGAGCCAGAAGCCAACTTGGGTGGGGTCTGGGGGCGACAAGCTTGCCTCACACCTGGCTCTGGAAGCTGAGAGCTCCTTATAAGGGGCCTGGGTCTGAGGGCTGTGGTCCAAGGGCGGCCTCATCTGCCACCCAGGCTCCCCCGCCGCCCGCCCCACGGGGCCTGGCCAGGTCTTGCTTCAGGCTCTGGGCCTCCCCGATAGGGAAGGGTGGCAATCGCTGGGGTTCAAACATCATCCCAGCCAACGCCCCACCAGAGGCAGCCCTGCCAGGGACAGGGCCCCCCTCCGTGTCTCCTGACTATGGGACCCTGCTCAGGGCTGCCAGGCCCTGTAGTGTCCCCACTGACATTTTAAAAACTAAATCTAGCACAAGACTCAAGGGCTCAATACTTGCCTCCTCAACCTCGTTACCAGGGAGCAAAGTTTCGTGACTCTGAGAGGAGAGGAGGTTCTCGGTCAGCAGGAGGCTCAGAGCACAGGGCGAACCTGCAGGTCTCCCCACGCAGAGCTCCTCCCCTCTCCCACAATACCCAACAGGGATCCCTCCAGGAGTTGGGTTCAACTGGATTAAGCCACAGTTCTGCCACTCCTAGGTCTTTCTGAGTCTCACTGTTTCCCTCTGTAAAATGGGCAGAAACACCTCTGTGGGCGAGGCTGCAAGACTGACAACACAGGTGTGCTACAGAGACGACACAGGAGTGGACGACGGGGCTCTCACTTCCTCACTCCCGGCCTCTCTCCCTTCCCACTCCCGTCTCAGGCCGGGACGAAAGCTGAAACGTCCTCCAGCTCGCCTGAGATCCAGACCCCACTGCCAACAGCAGGCAAGCCCACCCAATGGCCCGCAGCGCCCGGTATTTCAACAAAGCAAAACTGAACTGTTTTTCCCCACTCGCCCTGCGCCCCTGGCCTGGCCTGGGGCACTGTCGGCCCGCCAGCCCCTGCGCTGCCCGCCCGCTGGCCCCCCCCCCCCCCCCCGCCTTCTGAGAGCATGTGGCTACTTCCGGCACCAGGAGCTGCTCCAGGCTCATCTGCTCTCCCTCTGCCTGCGCCCTGGGGTCGGCATGTCTCCAAGGAGCCTGTGTCCAGGAGGAGGGTGCGTCCCCGTTCTGAACACAAATCCAGTCACATCCGTCCTTGGCTGAACAAACACGGCTGCTCGAGGGAGGACCGTCTTGGCCACTGCAGACACAGGGGCCCACATCAGAGAAGCAGAGCGGGAACCAGCCCCATGAGCACCGGACGTGCCCACGGGGAAGGAGGACGCACCACATGTCCATGTGCTTCTGAGGGCTCGCGGCTGCACCACGGGGCGGGGGCTCAGCACGCACAGCACGCACCATCTACGATCGAGGGAACACAGGCTGTGCACTCAAAATTCAAAACAAATGTTCCTAAAGTACAACTTAAATATAAAAGTGTCATACTCTACGCTTAAATCCCAAGATTAATATTTGGAGGGTGACCGTGGGCAGAACAGTACACGGATTCAGATGTGCTAATTCATAAAGGCCAGAGGGCCTGCACAGTTCACACTTCATCAAATGGGAAAGACAATTTTCCTAAGTTTTAAATTTAAAATTGAGCATAGTAGTTCAAAAACTAAAACAAAGAGGAGAACTTTTATCCTCCTAAGCTAAATGGGTGTAAGCATCTCGTAAACCCAAGAGGCAGCATGATTTCCATCTCACACTCATGTGTGTTAAAAACCTCACAAGCAAAAACACACCTTCTCCAGGAGTCTCTGCAGGCTCCCACCCCCGGCAGCACATGTGCTCCATCAATCCCACCCCTACAACTTGTAATAAACGTTATCACAGGAACAAAACTGCTCTGAGAGGAGATGCAGGTTTTACATCCTATTATCCATGATCCGTGAGATAATTATCAAGTGTCTTGTCAACAGGCACAAGAACAGATGATCTCAAAGAGCTGTCAGGACGGGCATCCCAACAGCAAAAGCGGGAGATGTGTCTTCAATGAGAAGTTTAACTAGTAAGTCTTAACGGATTCCAAATATCCAGGTACCTCAGATTAAAATAATTTTGCTGATAAATATACATGTCTAATACTTTCAGTTGCCACAAGTTAAAGCATAGTCTTTTTAAAAATAATGTGATTTTAATTTTTCAAAATCAGCTTTAAAAGAGCAATGTGTAACAAACAGAATGAAAACAATACTTTCTACCAACCAATACTGCTGGAGGGTTCCTTGGTGAATTTCACTTTATCCCAGCATTTGAGACAACGCAGGGAGTAAGACCACTGAACGTCTGAACATCATCCTCTGAAGCAAACAAGCTGTCAGCGTGGACCTGCCTGCCCAGACCCCCACCAGCCCCAGTGATCAGTGCCTCTGCTTTTCAAAGGGATGATGGACCCGCTCCTGTGCAGTCACATGGGGCTCCTATCACAAACGGAGCTCGTAGTTTACTTAAATACAAATTACCAGCTGTTTTAGACCAAAAGAAATGTGTAGCCACTGGACTCTCAGTTCTCTGAGCCTCCAGGGCTATGAAGGAGCTGGGTACCCCATGAACTGCCTCCCGGTTTCCTACAAATAGGGACTTGATTCTAACTGGCCAAACCTACTTAGGGATTCACGTTAAAAGCAGAACATAAAT